TCTCTCTCTCTCTCTCTCTCTCTCTCTCTCTCTCTCTCTCTCTCTCTGTGTGTGTGTGTGTGTGTGTGTGTGTGTGTGTGTGTATAGACCAGATGGTCTTGAACTTACAGAGATCCACTTCCCTCTGCATCCCCAGTACTGGGCTTAAAGGGGTTTAAAGGTGGCACCCTGGAGATAAAACTTTTTTTAAGATTAATTTTTTTTGTAGCAAGTAACAAAAATTATTCAAGTTAACTAGTTTGGTTTACTAGTTTATATTGAAATAAAAACTACAGGGCAAAAATATTTTATTTTGTCGTTAAATATCTCATTGCTTAAGACTTGGGATACTTTGCTGCAAGAAAACCAGGAACAGTTCCATTTCCTTAGGCTGGAAATGGCGTAACCACCCTGTCATTAGGGAACAGGTAGAATTCAGAGAATGTTAACATGACATTTATGAGTCTGCAAGCATCCAGATCTGGACTATCAAAACCTGAAAAGGTCACTTTTGCTATATTGAAAGTCATCCAGTTAGTCCGACATGATCCCAAGGGTGCAGGCAGGATCCACTACAGTCAGAGTGAATACGGAACTACTCAGAGCAATAAAGTCTCTGCAGCTTGGCATTTCTGCACTGGCTCCTCAGATCAACTCCTAGTTCCCAAAAGGAGACGCAAAGGGGTCCAGGCGATACCACCTTAAAGTAAATTTTTAGAGGAGAGAACTTACGGGCTTGGGAGCATGTCTTCTCTCTAGTGGGCAGATGCACTGAATGCTTGGGGTAAAGGGAATAGCTCTGTCTTCCAAGGTAGTTGGCCAGTCAAATATCCTTAAAAAGCTGTCTGGACAAAGGTTAATTATTGTCTTGGGCAGAAATATGATATATCCGACTCCCTCATTTTAATGAGATATTCAAGGCCCAGGGAGTTGAGTGCTTGGCTGTACATTCTGTGGGTGACCAGACAGGGTTCTCCCAAGAACTCCACTCTTCCTCTGGCTGCTGCAGGGGTCCTTTCGCAGGCACCCTTCTCGGCTGCACTGATGGCCTGAGTGAGATGAGACAGCCGAGCAGGAGGATCTGCTGCAGGAGCGAGCAGCAGGGACAAGGAGCGAATGTTGAAGGCAGCCAAGAGAGAACTCAACAGGGAGACGATGACAAATTCATTACCAGCTCCAGCTGCAGCGGTAATGAAACGGCCGTCGCTTCAGCCCTTCATTTAAGCTGAACTGGTCACGTGGCCTTTGGCTTTGTAGAAAAGGGGAATTTTCCCGAAGCTTTGTACCGTTTTCTGTTCCCGATATTCAGCTATATTAACTTACACTAGCAAAGAAGGACGTTCACTAATTATTTTGTGGAATTATTTTTGTAGCCAATTTTGTATAGATATTTTACTATATTTTAACAGAAAAAGTTTAAAAATCAATAGAAAGCTGTGTAAGTCACCTAGAATCCTTTCTCGGAGTAGATCTTCAGTTCAACAAATCGTTGAATAAGCAAACAAAAAGATAAAAATAAAACAAGATTCTATACGTAATTCTTGCCCACACGAGGATGCAAGTTACTAGCTGTGATATTCTAATACCAACTGGAAAGGACCAGAGTGGGGAAATCCTGATTAATTTTCTCTCTGGGGGTGGGGGGGAAGATGTGCAGTTCAGAAGCCCAGCCCCAGGAATGCTGCCTTGTGTGCGCTCGTTAAGGAAAACGTCATGAACGCGAGTGCATGGTCGCTGTGGACCAAACGCATCTTGACTCAGATACGCTGTTCTGTACCAGAGCTACGACCAGCTACTAGCTTAAAGAACCCTGCTTGATATGCGTGGGAAATAAACTCAAAGCTTCCCAAAGTTCTTAATGTGTAAAGCACACTTAGCAAAGTTGTTTTCAAAATGAGGAGCTGCTTTCAGAGATACAACACACTCCTTCCGGCTTGAGAGTTAGCTGGCGTGCGATTGCGAGCGCTAGCAACGCACTACCTAGTGACCTGCCCCACCCCAGCCAGGCCACAGTCCCAACCAACACCAGGGGCAAGTCACCACATCTCACGGGTCTCTGGAGTCACTCATAGTGAGTCAGCCTGCTACTCTTAACCCTGTGGGCGCCAAAGGGTATGAATGTGTTTGGGTAACTGATGTAACCCTCTCTTTCCCTAAGGACAAGGACGAAGAAGTTGAACCTGCCCCAGTGAGAAGGATTCTGAAATTCAATGCTCCAGAATGGCACTACATGCTGGTGGGAGCCCTGAGCGCGTCTGTGAACGGGGCGGTCACACCCATCTACTGCCTTATATTCAGCCAGATCCTTGGGGTAAGCAAGCCCCTGGGCTCACTTGGTTCTCTTCAGATCTTCTGTTTTCAAATCACTGGCTAATGCCGTATCTGACCCAACACCTCTTTGCTTTAACACACTTAGCTCTTTTATTTTTTTATTTTTTGCTAGCTCTCCTGCCCATCCCCAGCTCTAAAGGATGAAAAGTTCATAGTCTCGCTGGGTGGTGGTAGCACATACTTTTAATCCCAGCACTCAGGAGGCAGAGGCAGGCGGATCTCTGTGAGTTTGAGGCCAGCCTGGTTTACAGAGCTAGTTCCAGGACAGCCAAGGCGACACAAAGAAATCTTTGTGATAGGCGACACTATCTCAGAAAAATATAAATAAAGAAAGAAATAAATATTTATAGTTGCCACCATACGGAAGATCTGAAGGTGACATTCTCATTTGGTTTGGGCCAGCAAGGGCTCTCAGCCATTAAACCTATGAGAAAATAAATAAATATAGCTACAGACTGAGACTTGAAAGTGGGCAGCTTTCCTGTATGAAAAACGTGTTTGTTGAATAAGAATACAATGGGATTCTCGGGCAGTTTTTAATCTTGCTGCCCACTGAGGTTCAAAGCTTGACTTAAAGATCAAGTCACAGTGTGTCCTGTGCAAGTCTCTGCTCTGCGACTGATTGCATTAAAATGGGGAACGTGGGAGGAAGTGGGGGAGGGGAGGCCAATAAAGAAGTAAAGCTACAGCAGGGAGAAAGAATAAACTTATTTTAAATTTTCACTTCCTTGGAGTTTTGCTGTTCTCCATTTGACTATTGCTATAGCAACAGTGACGAACTCTTATTAGGCATCATCCAAACGCTTTGTGTTCATCGTGTTTCCTAATAATCACTGGATGCCCTGATGCTTCTTATTGCTATTTTATAGAGGAGAAGCAAACTGAAGCTCAGAGAATTTAGGGGATGGAGCACATGGTGGAATTGGGGTTCACATCCAGCCAGGGTGATATAGAGCCAGGCTCTGTTTACTCCTTGGTACCACAAAATCAGTCATTAAAAGGCTGACATATTTTTATAGTTCTCTCTCCCTCTCTCTCTCTCACACACACACACACACATGCACACACACAGAGGGAGAGACAGAGAGTTCAAAAAAGGAAAATCACACCCTTAAGAACATTGTCAGCTTTCTCAAGGACTTGCCAGCACACCGCGTTGTCAGAGTAATACTTTGAAAAACTCTCATTTTTGTTCCCTTTTCTACATCCCTCTCTGACAGAAATTAGGACCACAAAAAAATAAATGGGTGTGACGTGTATAAAAAGACCTCAATAATCCACTAACAGAATCGTCTGGGCAGAAATGTCCCTGACCATTTTCGATCACATCACTTTCAGGAAGTCAGGCAGTTGGAAGCACAGCTGGAGTTAATTGAGTTTCTGGCTACATGGTGCCACAATCTTTCAGGCTGAAATTTTTTTTTTAAATAATTGATGTATATTTCTTAATTTAATGGTAGGTAGAGTATCCAAATATAAGCACATGTTCTTTTATTCACTCAAGAAGCATTTGTGGATGGTCTCCCTTAGGCATTATGCTAGCAACTTGAGAAATTTACGATTGGAATTTCCAGGCAATGAGGAAGGCAATCATTAAACAGAAAGGAAAATAAAGAACACCCACCATCCAACCAATATTTACCCCTGGCTTGTCTACAGGCCACTGTTGCTGGCGTTGGCCTGGGCCAGAGGACAAGAGGAGGCCTTGCCTAGCCTCTCCGGCTACCATTCCAGAAGGGAGCGGCTCTGGGTGGACCTCACTGAGCGAGAGGAGCGTATGTTAGTAGAAAGTGTGCATCAGTCTGAAATCCAGAATCCGACAGCTTGATGTTGGCTTGTATAAAGAAAAGTCAGAATATTAACTTCTTTACTGATTTTTCTCTTTCTAAAAATATTTAGACAATTTGTTGTTATCTGAATATTTTTTTGAGAATTTCATACACACCATAGTATACTTTGGTCATGTCCTCTCCATCCCCTTCCCCCATGTACTTCGGACTCCTTCACAACAGTACCCCTCCTCCCTCCATGGTTTGTTAAAAGATCCACTGAATTTAATCAGGGTTGCTTGCAAGAGCAGGAGTGGGGAGGGGCTGTTTACTTTTACCAGAAGCTGTGACACCAAGAGAAATGACCCCCTACGTCCCAGCCGCCATTAACTCCAATAGTTCACCAACTAGAAGTGAGAGTTCAGGAACCTCTCCCTAGTCCATGCTGGAATGTTGGCAAGCTTGATCTGCTCAGGTCAACAGAGCTGCTGTGAGTCCATGACCACCAAGGCCGCGTCCCTTCCGGAGACCGCTGTTCGCAGCACCCCTGCGGATCCTCCAGCTCCTAGCTTCTTTCTGTTACCTCTTCTCTGATGTTCTCTGAGCTTCATGTGTGTTGGGGAGGCGGGGGTTGGTGACGTAACTGAACAAAAGCCCATTGTGTCCGCAGACCGCGTCTCCATTTTCCAGGCGTCAGTCCGTAGACATCTAGGCTGATTCTATTTCCGAGCTGCGCCGGGCACGGATGCACAAGTGTTCCCACAACAGGAAGCGGGGTCCTTTGAGTCTATGCCGACAGCACTGTGTCCCGGCTGCTTAAGGTGCAAACCTTAACAAAAGTGGGATCAAGGAGATAGCCACTCAATTTCACTCAGACCATTTTAGCGACTAGAGAGATTCTTGAGTTCCAAGAGACCTTTCTCCTAAACTTGGCTCTGCTACCTACTGTGACCATGTCCTCAGCAGCCCGAAGTCACATCCAGCTTCTCTGGGGCTCAGTTTCATTACAAAATGGGCATTGACAAAGATGGCCTTGAAGACCTGTTCTAGCTCTAGTAACTGTGAATTCGTCAAATCAGGAAAAGAAACGATTCAGCCAGTTGAGTGCTACCCGCCTTGAGTGCTCCCTCTAACGCTGATAAAGACTTCATTTCCCATGATTCTTCCAGTCAGCACCGGAAGTCCTGGGATGACTTTAGACTGGGCAATCAGACTTTGAAGGAAAGGTTCTACAACTAGAAAAGCGGGATCTAGTTGTTGGACCCAGGGCTGGCTTGTTATTCATGTTCCTGGGGGCAGAGCTGGGGTTAACATTCACTAAGAGAGCGAGGTTGAACCAACCACACCCTCCTCTCTGCTGTAGATAATTTCTAACTCGTCCTAGCACAATTACTACACACTCCCCATTACACTCAGAGGTCTTGAGTCTGTTTCTAGTCCGCCTGTTTTTATCTCGACATACTTCAAGAACATCATATCCATGGCTTATTAGACCACCCCGAGAGACGTGGATCCATTAAATGATTGTGCACAAATAGAAACCTGTTGCTAACCTACCTAAGGCCTCCATAGACAGCTAAACTATAATATGTGTTTCACTTTCCCTGGGTCTGGAATGGAAGCTGTGCCAAGTGTTGAAGCCACTGCAAGCCGGGTGTAGTACGCTGGTAACACATAGACACAAGAATCAGCCAGTCCTGGATAACACAGTCTCTGTGTTATTCGTGTGTACTTCATTAATATGAAACAAGAAGCCTACCTCCTGGGTTGCTGTGAGAAACCTAAATTAAATTAGGATCTAAAGAAATTCTAATTTAAGATTGGGTAAGCCATGCTTTTGACATCTGACACATAGAAAGAAGTTAATGACTCCTTTTCTCCTTAAACAAATGTCGCCATGACAAAAATAGAAAGATGTGTTTCTGAACCACAGCCAGTCTAAAGACAGAGGGTTCTAGTGGTGCATAGCCCTGTCAAGCTGCATTTCAAAACTAAGAATGTACAAAGAACCCACGGAACAGGATTTGGTGGCAGAATGACTATGGGCAAGATGGGAGGCTTAATACCAAGCTAAACAGTCATGTGGAATTTAACACAGCTACTCTGTCTGAACCCTGAAAATACAGACAACAGCATAAACCAAGGCACACCCAGGAGAAAGTCACTGTACCTGAAGCTGGTAACTGGGACTTTTCCTTATTTATGAACAACTCCCAGATGAATGGACCCAGGCCGATGTCTTGATCTTGGTGGCCCTAGCTGTCTATGAGTTAAGTAGGTTCATCTGTAATCCACAGGGACAGTATGTGATTTTCGTGGAGAGAAGTCATTGGCACATAGCAGTTTGAGGTTCCAAGAATATCTGTATAGCTATTTTTTTTTAAAAAAAAATAACTCAAATTGTAAATTCTTTGAACTGGTTAGTTACACAAGTCTGGCAGGAACAAATGTGTTGTCTTAGAGTCCGTTTTCTAGAAGTAAAGGCTGCAGAACCTATCAACTGTCCTAGATCTAGTAATCTCTCTCTCTCTCTCTCTCTCTCTCTCTCTCTCTCTCTCTCTCTCTCCTTTGTAGTTTGTGTTCAATCCTGAAACAGCATTCCTTTTTTCCCCATTTTTTTTTACCTTTTCTCATTTACAATATATTTTTTAAAATGTCATTATAGTTGCCTTAGCTGCTCTGTAAAACCTGGGATTAAAACAAAGCAAACAAACAGAAATCCAACTCTTTGAGCACACAAACACCAGGTCGAAATAATGACCTCTACTGAACCATTACTGCCAAAGCACTATAGGTTTTAAAATAAGACGCGTGTTGACGCAAAATAAAAGGAGAATGCGTCAGACTTGGGAACCTTGCTTTGATGATGGACAAAGGAAGATGGGTTTGCTTCCTGTTTTCAGTACATCTGGTCCTGGTATCAATCCATTAATGCAGAATTGTCCTGAAACCTGTATTTTCTGTTTCTCTGTATCACTTGAGTCAGAGACCAGACACACAAACACAAAAGGGAAGCAGATTATTTTTGCTTCGCAGAAAAGATTTTGTACATACTGTTTTTGAGAAGATTTGTGTGGTCCACAGTAAGTACTCAGTAAACGTGTGCTGGATAAATTGTTTCCTTCGAGAGAACTGGCATTGTTCTAGGTACTCACACTATTTCAGAACTGTTGGACTGGAGTCAATAAACAACTTGCCCTGCAAACATGAGGACCTGAGTTCAATTCCCAGAATCCACACAGAAAGCTAGACATGGTGACAAACATGTAATCCCAGCAGTGGGGAGGCTGGAGGATCCTCTCTGGGACTCACTGTCTGAATTAATTAGTTCCGGGTCAGTGAGAGAGCCTGGAGAGAAAAAGGGGAGAGGGAAAAGAGGAGGAGGAGGAGGAGAAGGTGGAGGAGGAGGAGGAGGAGGAGGAGGAGGAGGAGGTGGAGGAGGAGGAGGAGGAGGAGGAGGAGGAGGAGGAGGAGGAGGAGAGAGAGAGAGAGAGAGAGAGAGAGAATAAGGACTTATATGTTCTCCAGTCCACACTTTTCCTGGCGTCTCCCATTTACTTCTTTTAGTCTGAATTGCAAAGATTTGCTGTGACTAAAATGCTTCTTCCCGAGAACTTTCCCACCACAAGACACTGTTTAGTTCTGGCAACAGCTTAGTTCTCAGCTTGGTGTTTAAGTAACTATCAGCAAATTCATCAAAGATTTAAGAATATCATTTACTGATCAAAATAGACCTTAAAGACCCTATCACTCTGGACGGTGGTGGTGCACACCTTTAATCCCAGTACTCAGGCAGAGGCAGGCGAATCTCTGTGAATTCAAGGCCAGCCTGGTCTACAAGAGCTAGTTCCAGGACAGATAGGGTTACACAGAGAAACCTTGTCTTGAAAAATAAACAAAAAAGACACTAGTCACAATTTCCATGACCTTTAAGGAGAGAATAGCTCCGGTTTCCTGTAGGACAACCATATCAGGCTCAGATTTCACTTTTTTTCCTTTCCTAGGCTAACAGTCAGTTGTGCAACAGCTGGCTGCTTTAGAAATATATATATTCTATACTTGTGCATATAATTATATAATAATTATATATAGGTATATAATTATATAAGTATATAATGTATAATTATATAATAACACAGTATAATATTATACTTATGTATAATATATATTTTTATACTTATAGACTAGTTTAGATGTGTAAGAGCAGTAAAATAAAGGATACCGGGGTCTAAAAATCATCTTTCTTATGTTCATTGTTCAAGCAAAATAATAGGTGAAAGAATAATCATATTTCCCCACAGACTGACACTCTCAAATTCTCAATAATGTCCTTCTGTTTCCCTTTTCTTCTTTTCCTCCTCTTTCCCTTCTTTCCTCTTTTTCTCCCTTATTTCTTAAAGATTACTCTTATCTGGCTATCTTTCCTTTTCTTTTTTTTCATCAATATCAGGGAAAAAAGCTGACACTGCTTAAATCAGCACAGCGGGGGGCTGGGGAGGACTTCTGTAATTGCTGCCATTGGTTTAAATTTTTCAGGAGCCCTGTCACACAGGGGATCAAAAATAATACACCCATAATGTTCATTACTAACTTTGGTTTAAAAACTAGTGTGTTCAAAGTGAAGCCATATTTTAAAAGTTTCACAGCAAAATTAAGAGGACGTTCCAGAGATTTCCCTTATACCCCTTGCCTTCTTCTGTCACCCTCCTCCTAGGCCACAGTGGCCATTCAGTACAGCTGTGCTGTGCACCATGACAAGACCCTCTCATCTCTAGTACAGACTGAGAGTGAAGTTCACTCTTGCTGGACGGTCTACGGGATTGGACAAATATGAAGACTTACTTGAACATACAAAACGTATTTATTATGTTATTGTTTATAATAACAAACTTTCTTCCCTACCTATTATCTTCCAAAGATTTTCTCAGTCACTGATAAAGAAGAACAAAGGTCAGAGATTTACAACATGTGCCTGTTTTTTGTCGTCCTGGGCTGTGTATCCATTTTCACACAGTTTCTGCAGGTAATTTTATTTTTCATCAAGGGATTTCCCTACTTCTCCCCCCTTTTTTCCCTCATATAAAAATCTCATCAAAGACTCCTTATTTATGTTTTAGGGTTACACTTTTGCCAAATCTGGGGAGCTCCTTACAAAGAGGCTGCGTAAATTTGGTTTCAAAGCAATGTTAGGACAAGACATTGGCTGGTTTGATGACCTCAGAAATAACCCTGGAGTACTGACAACTAGGCTTGCTACGGATGCCTCCCAAGTTCAAGGGGTAAGTCTTGGGAGTGTCTGTCCATTTTGGATGTTATAACAAAATATCTTAGATGAGGCAATTTGCAAATTATAGACACGTTTTCATCATAGTTCTGTAGGTTGGGAAGTTTAAGACCAAGGCAGGGCAGGTTACATTTGATAAGGGTATATTCTCTCTCATTTGAAGATGAGCATCTTCTTGGTCCATCTTTCTGTGGTAGAATGTTAGAGGGGCTGGAATTCTGTCATCACTTTCTCTTATTCTTGTATTATTGAACCTGTCTGGGAAGACAGATTTTCAATCCAGTCGTGCCCAAAGGTTCCGACAGTAACACCCTCCAGTGGGAATTAGATTTCAACATGAATTTTAGGGAAACACATTCAGCTGTAGAACAATAAGACTGTATGCACTACAGAGATGCTATTTCCAAAGAATGTTCTGAGAATTACCCATGTTTCCCCTGGGATGAACCTGGCAGGGCTGGGATGAGCCAGAGACGTGCGACAGCA